GGTTTTTTCCCTCAGTGTACGCTGCAGTCGCTAACGCCGAACCCACCGGGCGGAACACCTGGTTCTTGGACAGTTGCTGCGGTCAGCACATGTGCTCCTCCGGACGCTTCGTACAACACGAGCGACGCCTCAACCGTGACGTCGTCATCACCGTCGCCAACAACGAAAACCTGAAAACAAATAGACAAGGCGTGGTTCAGTTACAATCAATGGAGACAAACGTTATTCTTCAGCTCAACAAGGTCCTCATCGTCGACAATCTGGGATACAACCTATTAAGCGTAAGCCAACTAATGGCTAAGGGGATTCACCTGGAGTGCGACTCCTTCTCCAACGAGTTCCGACTTTACCACGGGAAGGGCGGTCTCTTCATCGGTCGTGCCCTCCTGAAGTCCGGTGTCTTCGTGTTGGACTTCGTCCCCGACCGCGGAACTGCCGACAGCGACGGTATCGTATCCTTCGCCGCCTGGACTCATCCGCCAGATCTTGATCCCGACTTCGACAGCGACGGCTTCTGGCACTCCAACACCATACCTGCAGCAGAAAGAACACGAGCATTAGCAGTTATCAGACAAGAAAGACAAGTACCCGCATGTGTCCCAACAAAACCATCACCTGCAGTATCGGCAGCAGGACCCAGCCGAGTACCACCACCAGCGACACGAGGACAGCCAACCGAAGCAGACCAACTTATGCCCGCCACACGAGAAGCTTGTCGAAGTCCCGCCTCGGTCGTCGCGTTCTTCTCCAACGCCGACATCTACCACCGCTCGCCCGGTCACCGCGCTCCCGACGACATCTGGCACCAACGTCTCGGACATCCTGCAAACAGCACGATACTTCAAACAATCCAAGCAGAAGTGTTAGAACGCAACGCCCTTCTGACGACGAGCGGCCAGGAACTCCGACGACCACGCGCACGGTGTTTCACATGCCCCGAAGCAGATCTTCCTCATCAACCTTTCCCAGCCCATCACAATCCAAACGCACCCACTTACGCTCCGATGGAAAAGGTCTACAGCGATATTCTAAACATGCCTCGAGACGACACCGAAGCCGACTTCAACTACGTCATCACGTTCATCGACGCCGCAACCAGATACGTCTGGCACTTCAATCTCAAAACGCGCGATCAAGCCTTCGAGGCATTCACCACATGGCTTCCAATCGCCGAACGAGAGTCAGGAACCAAACTCAAGAGTTTCCAGTCAGACGGTGCACTGGAATACCAGTCACAACGCTTCAGGACCTATCTCGCGGAAAGGGGAATCCGACGCCTGGTGTCTCTGCCCTATGCTCACCAGCAGCAGGGGGTAGCAGAACGCATGAACCGGACCTTGCAGACGACGATGCGAAAACTGCTTCTGGGGATGAGGCTGCCCAACGCACTGTGGCCAGACGCGATGACACATGCAGTCCACCTGCACAACCTGTTGTCCTCGTCATCGCTCCCCAACAACGCATCACCACACCTGCTGTGGACGGGAAAAAGGGGCAGCACAAAATTACTTCGAGTTTTCGGCTGCATGGTACAATACAGACCCCACACAGCTCGAGCAGGACGCTTCACTCAACGAGCTCGGTGGGGACTACACCTCGGCATCGCCAAACATTTTCACGCGTGGAAGATCCTCGACATACAAGACAAAAATACGGTGGCATCACGTGATGTTATCTTCTACGAGCGACTGACGCTGCAGCATTACCTGGACAACATTGCCAACTCAGACGACCCCACCGACGGCTTCGCGGGCCTTCGCTCCTTCGCTGACCATGCTGCCGAGGCTGACGCAGCAGAAGAAGACGTACCTGGAGCCTCGGAAGCTGCCGGGCCACTCCCATTCTGTTCCATACCTGTTCCACTCGATGAAGATAATCCCCTCGATAGCAACAACCTCGACACCTTTTACCACTTCGCCGACCAAGGTTACGCTACACCGCACCCCGTCGACACGAATATTTCGGAACGCATCGGCCCCAATTTCTTACCTGACCCCGAAGACGGTGACGAAGCAGCTTATTCGGGGAATGACAATTCCCCTCGACACACACCCACGGGACTCCAGATTCTAGGCCTCTGGGTCTCCGTCCAGCATCCGCCGCCGCCTTCTACGCGTGAGCCTTCAACCTTGTCGCAGGCTCTGGGGGGGGAACATAAGGCAAAATGGAAAGAAGCGATGGAAAAGGAGTTAAAAGCTCTGCAAGACCGAGAAACATGGAAACTGGTACCTGCAACGAGCATCAACGGGAAGAACGTTCTCTCGGGGAAATGGGTGTACCGCATCAAGACCAACTCAGACGGCTCCATCGAACGATTCAAAGCTCGATGGGTCGTACGAGGCTTCGATCAACGATACGGAACCGACTACACAGAAACCTTCGCCCCAGTCTCCCGTCACACCTCATTACGCATCCTACTCGCCGTCGCGGCCACAAAAACACTACCACTACGCCAAATCGATGTCGCGAATGCGTTCCTATACGCACCTGTGGACGCTGAGATCTTCGTCGAACAACCCCACGGATTCATCGACGACCCCACGAAAATATGCCGACTGACAAAATCCCTATACGGGATCAAGCAAGCCCCGCGGCTCTGGCAGCAGCATCTTCACAGCCGTCTCGTAAAAATCGGCTTCCTACAGCTGCCGCATGACCAAGGGATGTACCGACTGCAGAAGGGAAGAGAGTATGTTCTGCTCATCGTCTACGTCGACGACCTGCTCTACATCGGCTCAACTACCGACATCGCCACCTGGTTCGAAGGGGAGCTGAAAGAAGATTTAACTCTCACGGTGTCCGACGAAGTTACGCAGTACCTAGGACTGAACGTCGTCGAAGACGACACGGCGTTCTACCTACACGCTGGAAAGTACTCAAGCACCGTCGCGAAGAAATTCGCTCTAACACCGACTGCGGTCCCAACTCCCTACCGCTACGGGAACAACGGCAGCGCCTCTACAAAACTCCCCGCAAAACAAATCCAGGAGTATCAACAGAAGCTCGGCTGCCTACTATTCGCAGCAGTAACCTGCCGACCCGACCTATCCTATAGTGCGAGTCAGCTGGCGACACATCTGAAGCATCCGCAACAGGAAGATCTCGAAGAACTCAATCGAGCGCTACTCTACTTCGTCTCCACGCCGACGATCGGGCTTACCTACAGCAAGGCAACAACACCGTCCGTACGACTACTCGGATACGTCGACGCCGACCACGCGGGAGACAGCGAAAATCGACGGTCTAGGACGGGCTACATCTACCGACTAGAACCTATCGGAACTATCTCCTGGCAGTCGAGCAAGCAGGAGTTAATCGCACTATCCTCGGCTGAAGCAGAGTATATCGCCCTTTGTACTGCGACCAAGGAAGGACTCTACCTACGAGAGTTACTCGAAGAAGCGAAGATCGCGACCCTGCCCGCCTTCTCACTCCTCTGCGACAACCAATCTGCGATCAAAATCGCGAACAAGGACGGCTTCGCCAATCGAACCAAGCACATCGCCCTGCGGTACTTCTTCGTCAAGGATGAAATCGCGAAGGGGAGACTTCAACTCAGTTACTGCCCGACGACAGAAATGGCCGCAGATTATCTGACGAAGAAATTGGCGAAAGCAAAATTCGACTACTGCATGCTCCTAACCGGGCAAACAAACGCCACCGGATCTGAACACTCCAGCACTCCAGAAACGAAGGGGAGTGTTGGAAATATCTCAAGGACTTAAGCGTTTCTGAAGTGTAACACTGTACTCGAGGAAGATTACAGGGGAGCACGCGAGTCAACGGAGGTTACACGAGGGGGCGGACAAAGAATGCGAAAGGACTCGAAAGGTCGCAACTGGAGGTTGCGACTGACCGTTACAACATCACGGATGGTAACCGAAGCGGCAATCGAGTCGCTGTGCGATTCGATAAACCGTTCCTGTAACTGTATTCTACAACTGCTTTCTTATCTACTATATATTGCTGTATGCTTGTTTCTTTAATCAATCACTTGTTCTCACATACTAGTACAAGGGTTCAACTGCCTCAACTTCCGCTGCACTACTCCAAGTCTCAAGTCTCTACAGCTGGGACTTAGTCTCTGCAAAAGATCCTAAGGGCTTTTCTCAGCCCAACAAGTGGATCACACAGTTCCGAACAGCCTTCCTCGGAGCATCCACCGCACTGTACCACTGCAGAACCACGTCAAAACCGTGCTGAAAATCACTCTACCACTCTGGCCATCCTAACTTTCACAATTTCATATCTGAATGTTCTAATTGCCTTCAGTGCAAAGCACTCCACCCTCACTGTGCAATTCATGCACGAGAAAAGATCAAATTTCCGTAAGGGGTGTTCCGAGAATTGAACTCGGGACCTCTCGCACCCTAAGCGAGAATCATGCCACTAGACCAAACACCCGTGCAAAAAGGCCCAGATGGTTTAAATATACTACAAATATTTTCTAGCTCGATTTTGCAACGTCGCCTGAAGACACAAGCGACACCGCCGCCCTTTGCCAAACCTGCCGCGTCGCACGTCGGTCGCCTCGCCCCTCTACCGCAATCCTGATTGGTCAAGAGTGAAGTTGCTCGCCCCTTCTGTTTCGATCGGGTAAAAGCGGGCGAGGTGCCGCAGAGCAGATCTCGAGGCAGAGCCCCCCGGAGACTGACGCAGGGAAAAAGGATTCTCTTGAAGCAGCCAGGGCAGGGAACAAGGCTCCAGCGAACTGGGCCCTAGGACGTGGAAGAATGCGTCCAGTTCGCAAGATCGCTTTCCGAACTTCGAACAGTATCGTGTTTTAACACGTTGCATCTGTTTGCACCGTATTAAAACCTTCTTTAAGCCCTTCAAAATGATCCGGACGCGGATCGATTAGGGCAATTCGGACGCAATTTTCCACGTCCTAGGAATTGTCGGGGAAGAAATTCCGCAGAGTGTCGGGGAGGGAGGGATTCCAGTGGCCAGTCATTCAGGCAAGAGCGGTTGCAGTTTGTGTGGGGCGTCAGATGGTATTCGGAGTCTCAAGTTACGCTTGGAGCTGGTGATTTGAGTTATGGAAACCTTTATGAGTTGACTACTGACTGATGACTTCGGGATAGACTCTGGTATGGAGCTATTTTCCAGCCTCAATAACCGGCTTCTGTGGCGGTGGTCGCACGAGCCGTCACTAGATTTCTTCTCAGACGTGTTTCGTCGCGGTTAACATATTGACTCGCAGAGTATCCGCAAGCACCGTCACGCATTATGTGAACTGCTGGCGCTGCATCGAGCAGGAGAGCCGATTCGTCAGCAGGTTGAGGAAATGGTCGCAGGAGCTTTAGCGGATTCCGTGTTGTAAAAAGCAATTCCGTAGATTAAAGCCCGAAGGTGACGTTAACAGCGCTCCGGGATTCACGGAAGCCATGGCTGCAGGAATCGTTGCGGATCCCGTCGCCGCGCGAAGCGTCGGACCCGTGGAGTCCTCTCCACTTGGATGGCCGCTGTATAGGGGAGAGAAGTTGACACCTGTTTCTCGTGCCACGCCCGACCGCCGTAACTTATTTATCGACGCAGGAAGGCGACGCGATAGGGTTAGGGACGAGCGCGACTGGTCCCGCGAAGGCGGGGCTGGCGAAAGGAGGGTAGCGCCACGTGGCACGCAGGAAGGCGAAGGTCAGCGCAAGCAGTCTCCACGTGGCAGTTCTGGATTCGGCGGTGCCAACTCAGAGGTTTCTCCGAGGGAGCGGAAGCGGTACAGGTGCGTTCGGGAATGGGTAGGCGACAGGTAGGCGACAGATAGGCGGCAGGTAGGCGACAGATAGGCGACAGGTAGGCGACAGATAGGCGACAGGTAGCCGTAAGGCGTGCGACGAGTACCACAGGTATACGGCGATAGACGAGGATGTTCCCTCCTCTCCTGAGAAGCCGAGGGCGATAGGTGCGGGATGGCGCGTGGGGAGTTATGTGTTTTCCGTGCTTCGTGCTTCATGCTTCGTGCTTCATGCTTCGTGCTTCATGCTTCATGCTCCCTGACCCCTCTTGCGCTCTGGCCTATCCTTATCATCTCTGTGCGTGTCTCCGCTGTTCTCCCCACTTCCCATCAGCTATCGGGAGTTCAATCCTCCTACCTCCTTTCCTTCTGGAACCAGCCGCACCACCCCTCCCCCTGCCCCTCCCCCCGACGTCCCTCCGCCTCTCGCTATCCCCATCCCCTTCCTCAACTTCCGCCGACGCTCTCGCTCCCCTAACCCCGCGCGCTCCCCCTCCCCCACCGGCGCACGCTCCCGCTCCCGCTCTCGTTCGCGCTCCCCGCACCGGCCCTGGCTCTGGTTTTCCTCCAACGCGGAACACTCTCCGCGCCAACCCCGTTCCCCTGGCCCTGTCCGCGACCCCGCGGCCGGCGCATCCACCTTCCGCCAAGCATCTCCCCGCGGGGACCCGCTTCACCAGGACCCTTCCGCCGGAGCTCCCCCCGTCGCCGCCGCTGCAGGCCCCTTTTCCGTGGCTGCTGCGCGGGTGACGGGCTTCTTCGGAAGATCGCACGTCCGAAGCAGTTCTCCACGTCCGGCCCGAGCCAGGCCGCCCGAGCCTGAGGCGCAGGTATGGGATTACCCCGCCCCTGCCACGAGAGAGCTGGTGTCGTTCCGCGACCTGGTGGCGGGCGCGCGAGAGAGGGCGCACGCTAAGGGGCAAGCGGAGAGTGCCACTAACGCGGATGCGGGGTTGTATTCAGGCCAGTCGATGGGCCACCAGCACGCGGAGTCGAATTCTCGTGATGTTACAGCGGGTATTGACGTGGACGAATCGTTTGTAGAGCCTGTGCTGCGCTCTGACAGGGCAGCCGGAAAATTGCGCCTGATTCCGCCACTTTCCGCTTTTAGCATGCCTGGTGCTGCTGCTGCTGCTGCTGCTGCTGCTGCTGCTGCTGCTGGTGCTAGTAGTGCTGGCAGTGCTGGTGGCGATGGCAGTGGTGCTGGTGTCAGTGGTGGGCGTGGTGGTAGCAGCGTTGGTGTTGGTGGCAACAGCAGGGGAGGAGGCGTTTCTGGTGGGGCGGAGAGGGAGGAAGCAGGGTGGGAGGAGGAGGGGCCGTCGAGTCAAGAGGAGGATAACCCCTATCTGAAGCCCGGGGTTTCTTACTACAGCAGCGTTACGATCCCAAGGGTGAGGCAGGGAGAGTCGTCCCCGGACGGGAGGCAGGGAGGGGTGTCTCCTGACGGCGGCAGCACTGACAGTCACTTAGACGCATCCTTCCCCCTGCCTCTGCCGCACACCTACCATCCCAATGATATCACCTACGGCGTTGAGAACTCGCCGTCGCCCATCTTGTTCTCCCCGCCCCACCCCTCTCACCCTCACAACCCTGCACACCCGTCGCACCCCGCACACCATTCGGCACACCACGCCTCTTCAGACCAGGGAGCTGATCCCTACCGAGATGACTCCCAGCACTACCAATCCCTACAGCACGCACAGCAGCAGCAGCCGCAAGCGTATCAAGGCCCCTCCCAGCAGCACCAGCAGCAGCAGCACGTGCCCCCAGCGGCGTATCTCCTGCGCAAGACGCCATCTGCGCTCAACCGCTTCTCCCTGCCGCGGAAGCCGGGGGAAGAGGAGGAGCAAGCCCAGGGCGCGGGGTCCGGGCGCCACGCAGAGAGCGGGGTGGGTCGGTCGGAAACCATGGCGGGGCGGTCGAGGAGCAAAGGCAGCAGCCGGTGCTGCAGAGGTGGGGTGGAGACAGGTGGCGAGCAGGGGCAGGGACAGCAGGGGCAAGGGCAGCAGTGGGAGGAGGCGAATGGGCAGTTGGAGAGTGAGGAGGAGGAAGAGGGGGAGGGGGATGGAGTGAGTGAGGTGCCGTTTCATGCGATAGTGGCCGGTGCAAGGCTGAGGTCGGATTCGTCTCTCTCCATGTCGCTAAAGTCACTCTCTGTACCGTCACATGGGTCAGTCCAGCAACCCCCGTCCGCAGCTGACTCGCAAGCACAATCCGACTCCTCCTCCCACTCTCACTCGCTCCCTCACTCTCACTCTCAACACTCTCACTCCCACCACTCACACTCGCACACTCTCCAGCCACCCCACTCCCACTCCCACTCTCTCCCCTCCAGCGGCTCCCTCCCCCCGAGCAGCCTGCTGCGCGCCCCCAGCAACGTTCTACCAGCAGCCAGCAACATCCTGCCGTCCAGCGGCCCTCTGCCCTCTAGCGGCTCTCTCCCCCCCTCTCTCCCCGGCTCGCTGCCTACTAGCGGCGCTATTCCCGCCTCTCTCCCTACCAGCGGCCCTATTGCCCTCACCCCATCCGCCCAATCCGCCCAATCCGCCCAATCCGCCTCCTCTGCTGACGTGGTTCCATCCCTGGTATCCTTCGTGCCTCTCCCCCTGAGCTCGTACAGCGGGAGCGGGCGAGGGGGAGCGGAAGGGGTCGGTGGGGGGGTTGGGGGAGGGAAGGGGGGAAGAGGAGGGGTGGGAGGAGAGGGAGGGGGGTTGAGGGGAGAAAGAGGAGGGTCAGAGGGTCGGTTTGGGGGGATCGCGGAAGGGGATGAGTGCGAGTCGCCGTTCAGAGGGGGAGTAATGGAGGGGGGGATGAGGGGGTTGAGGGGGAGGGGGAGAAGAAGAGGAAGGAAGGGGGTGGAGAGGAGAGGGCCGGAGAGCTGGTGAAAGGGGGGGATGAGAGGAGAGTGGGGCGAGAAAGGGCCGTGGGTGGTTGGTCGAGAGGTAGGACACGGACGACGGAGATTGAAGAGGTGGTGGAAGGGCAGGGAGAGGGTCAGGGAGAGGGGCGGGGAGAGGGGCGGGGAGAGAGGGCGGAAGGGCAAGGGGTGACGTGGGAGGCGGGGACGAAAGGGGAAGGGGAAAGGGGGAGGGGGGAACGCAGAGAGGAGGAGAGGGATTGGGGGCAGGAGGATGTGCATGAAGACCCCTGGATGCAGCGGCTGGGGGTGCTTCAGGTGAAACCTCAGGTGGATCCTCAGGTGGAAGCATCAGAGCATGCAGAAGGGCATGAGAGTGGGAAGGAGAGCAGGGAAGCAACGAGGAGGGCAGGGGAGGAGGAAGGGTACAGTGAGAGGGCGAAGAGGCTAGAGTTGAGGCAGAGGCGGTATGAGGAGGAGAGGCAGCGGTACGAGGAGGGGCTAAGACAGCTGGAAGCAGAGCAGCAGAGGCTGGCAGTGCGGATGGGGGTGGGGGAGGGGGGGAAGACGGCGGTGGGGGAGGGGGGAGAGGGGGGGATGAGAGGCGAGGGGCAGGTCGAGTTGCGAGTTAATGGACAGGGGGGGACGAGGGCGGGGCATGGCGCTTCTGGTGCTGGTGCTGGTGATTATGGCGATGGGGCTGGTGCTGGTGGTTGTGGTGGGAACGGGAATGGTGACTATAGCGAGCGGATGGACGAGGATGACCGTTTGGATGCATCAGACGGCGCAGATGCGTCCGACAAGGCACACACGTCCAACGGTCAGGATGCATTGACGGGCATGGGGGCGTCAGGCGATGGTGCGGCTCCATTCGTTCCTTTCGTTCCCTTCGTTTCCATGCACGTGTACGCATCAGAGCCAGCAGAGCTGGAGCCGTATGCCATGGGTGCCCCGCCTGACCTGCTGCCGCCCGCGCTCAAAACGCAGGGCTACCACTTTCACAGCGCTGCCCATTCCCATGCACACACCCACATGCATCCCAACAACCAGCCATCCAGCCACCTGCATCCCAGCAAGCAGCCATCCAGCCCCACCACCGTGCTGCACTCCGCTCACTCGCACGCGCATGCCCACCCCCCCTTGCACTCGCCCGCCCATGCCACCACCCATGCACTCACGCCCGCACACATGCAGTCACACTCTACCACCCCCAACGGTCCCCCAGGCGACCCCTTCGGCCCCCTGCCTGCTGCGTTGAGGGCGGGTCTCCTCAGGCGACTGAAAGAGGACAGCCTCCTCGCTGCTAATGCCAGCACTGCTGCTGCTGCACTTGCCACTGCCACTGCTTCTTCAGATTCGGCTGGTGCTTCTGCCGCTGGTGCTGCTGCTGCTGGCAGAAGTGGAGCAGAGGAGGCTGCAGGTGTGGGGGCGGCAGGTGTGGGGGCTGCAGGTCCCTTTATAGGCAGGCCCGTTAAGGGCATTCTGTGTCGGACCAGGGTTTTGACTGCTGGGGACAGTGAGACAGGGGAGGACAGGGAGAGCGTTGGGGAGGGCGGGATGCGGGGGGTGGGCAAAAGAGAGAGCACCACACTTGCTGCTGAAAGCGCTGCTGGTACTGCTGCTAGTGATGTCACTGGTACTGCTGCTGTTGCTGCAGCAGCAGCTGCTGCCAACGATGGTACTGGTTTCGACACTGCTGCTGCTGCTGCTGCTGCTGCTGCTGCTGCTACCAGAGACGGCCTTCTTCCCCCGACCCTAATCGAGGCTGTGTTCAAGCCTGGAGCCTTGGGTCGGGCAGCTGCAGCGTACCGGTACAGGGGAGGGGGAGACTTTTTGTTCCGCGCCCTGGCCACGCTGCAGCCTGGTGGGGGGGAGGGGAAGGGTGGGGGGAGTGGGGAGGGGGGAGCGGAGGGGGAGTTGGGCAGGGGTGGGGAGAGAGAGGGTGGACGCGAGAAGGGGTTAGTGGAGGAAGGAGCGATCCGTGGCGGAGAGAGCACAGGATCGGTCACTGGTTCGTCATCTGCTGCTATTGATACTGCTGCGGCGGCGGCGGCTGCTGCTGCTGCTGCTGCTGCTGCTGCTGCTGAAAGGGTTACTGGAGCGGAGCAAAGCAGGGGCAGGGACAGCACGAGGGCTATAGGCGCGGAAGGGAAGGGAGGGAAGGAAGGCGTTGGTGTGAAGGAGGAGGACGAGGGGTGGGACTATGAGGAGGAGGCGCGGGCCGTGGCGCTGTCTCTCTTCGGCTTCCCCCACACGCTGAATGACTTCGGGGGGCTCCTGGAGGGAGACCAGCAGGCTGAGGGGTCCGGGCAGAGGAAAAATATTCAGGAGCTGCCCGGGATAGGTGATGGCAGGAGGGGGGGAGCAAGAGAAGGGGGTGTGGGGGAGAGGGATGGGGAGAGGGGGGAAGAGGTAAGGGGGGAAGGGGAGGCGAGAGGGGGGAGGAGGGGGGAGAATGGGCGGGAGGAAGGAGGAAGGGGGAGAGGAGGGCGAGAGTGCGGTGCAGCAGAGCTTGCGGCAGTTGGAAAAGGCGCTAGTGGGGGGCAGGATGCCGCTGGATGCTGCTGCGCTCAGACACGAACTGCTGCTGCTCATGGGGAACGCAGGGGGGGGGCGGGAGGGGGAGAGGGAGGGGGAGAGGGAGGGGGAAATGGGGGGCACGGGGGGCAACAGGGGGAGGAGATGGAGGCGGACTTGGGGGTTGCTGGAGGGGGTAGGGGGGAGGAGAGGGAGGGGGAATGGGGGGGACAGGGGAAGACAGGCGGGAGGCGAGGGGTGAGGAAGTGGAGGAGAGGTGGGAGGGGGGAAGGGAGGGGAGAGGGAGTGAGGGGAGTGAGGGGAGTGAGGGGAGTGAGGGGGGTGGAGAGGAGGGAGAAGAGTATGGAGGTGAGATGAGGAGGGATGACAGTGGTGCAGATGCTGTCACCGCTGCTGCCGCCACTGCTGCTACGGTGGGTGGTCTGAGTGGTGGGGATGGGGAGAGCAGCGAGGAGGGTATTTCGATTGAGTCGGTTGAGAGGGATGGCATGCGGTGGCCGACGGTGCCAGCTGCAGAAATAGTGGAGCATGAACAGGACACAATTGGGTCGAGAGGAGGAGGGGAAGGAAGCGAGGGAGTGAGTGAGGGAGGGGAGGAGGAGGAGGAGGAGGAGGAGGAGGAGGAGGAGGAGGAGGAGGAGGAGGAGGAGGAGGAGGAGGAGGAGGAGGAGGAGGAGGAGGAGGAGGAGGAGGAGGAGGAGGAGGAGGAGGAGGAGGAGGAGGAGGAGGAGGAGGAGGAGGAGGAGGAGAAGGAGGAGGAGGAGGAGGAGGAGGGGGAGGAGGAGGAGTGGAGCGAGAAGGATATGCAGGCGCTGGAGCTGCTGAGGGAGGCGGCCATACCGCAGCCCGTGGCAGCATGGGGAGAGGTGCCTGCAGGGGGCGAGGCAGCTGCACATGGCAGCAGCCGCGTGCATGCGGTTCACCTTGCCTCTGCCTCTGCTGCTGCTTCTGAGACGCTTGGAGGGGGAGGAGGCCTGTCATCTGCAGTGGACGAGGGGTTGTCGTCTGTGGGGGAGCGGGGGAGCAGGGGGAGGGGGGTTGTCGTCGGCGTCGCACTGGCTGCAGCAGGTGGACATGGCTGAGGCGGACGGCCACGTGCCCGTGGCGCTGCAGCTGTTTGACCTCGCAGAGAGGTGCAACGCGCAGGTGGGTTGAGCGGGGTGTTGCAGTGTAACATGTGACGTGCAGGTGAGTTGAGTGGGGTGTTACAGTGTAACATGTGACGTGCAGGTGAGTTGACTGGGGTGTTACAGTGTAACATGTGACGTGCAGGTGAGTTGAGTGTTTTGTAGAGTTGAGTCGAGTGTGACTCGAGAGTGATAGCTGATGGCCACGTGCCCGTGGCGCTGCAGCTCTTTGACCTCGCTGAGAGGTGTAACGCGCAGGTGAGCAGTTGGTTACGATGTAACGTGCAGGTGAGTAGTTGGTTACGACGTAACGTATCACATGCATGTACATAACATGTGACGGCCATGTGCCCGTGGCGCTGCAGCTCGTTGACCCTCGCTGAGAGGGGCAATGCTCAGGTGACCCCCCCCCCACCCCAGCCCCCCCCAGCCACCCCCAGCCCCCCTCAGCCCCTCTCAGCCCCTCTCAGCCGCCTCAGCCCTACTCAGCCCCCCTCAGCCCCCCTCAGCCCTACTCAGCCCCCCTCAGCCCCCCTCAGCCCCCCTCAGCCCCCCTCAGCCCCCCTCAGCCCCCCCCAGCCCCCCTCAGCCCCCCTCAGCCCCCCCCAGCCCCCCTCAGCCCCCCTCAGCCCCCCCCAGCCCCCCTCAGCCCCCCTCAGCCCTCGGCCCAGTGCTGCGGACCAGTGCTGCGGACCAGTGCTGCGGACCAGTGCTGCGGACCAGTGCTGCGGACCAGTGCTGCGGCCCAGTGCTGCGGCCCAGTGCTGCGGACCAGTGCTGCGGCCCAGTGCTGCGGCCCAGTGCTGCGGCCCAGTGCTGCGGACCAGTGCTGCGGACCAGTGCTGCGGCCCAGTGCTGCGGCCCAGTGCTGCGGCCCATGCTGCGGCCAGTGCTGCGGCCGGCTGCGGCCCAGTGCTGCCCAGTGCTGCGGCCCAGTGCTGCGGACCCAGTGCTGCGGCCCAGTGCTGCGGCCCAGTGCTGCGGCCAGTGCTGCGGCCCAGTGCTGCGGCCCAGTGCTGCGGCCAGTGCTGCGGCCCAGTGCTGCGGCCACCCAGTGCTGCGGCCCAGTGCTGCGGCCCAGTGCTGCGGGCCCAGTGCTGCGGTCCAGTGCTGCGGACCAGTGCTGCGGCCCAGTGGGTGCTGCGGCCCCACTGCTGCGGCCCAGTGCTGCGGCCCAGTGCTGCGGACCCAGTGCTGCGGCCCAGTGCTGCGGACCAGTGCTGCGGCCCACTGCTGCGGCCCAGTGCTGCGGCCCAGTGCTGCGGACCAGTGCTGCGGCCCCAGTGCTGCGGACCAGTGCTGCGGCCCAGTGCTGCGGCCCAGTGCTGCGGGCCCAGTGCTGCGGCCCAGTGCTGCGGCCCAGTGCTGCGGCCCAGTGCTGCGGCCCAGTGCTGCGGCCCAGTGCTGCGGCCCAGTGCTGCGGCCCAGTGCTGCGGCCCAGTGCTGCGGCCCAGTGCTGTCCCACCGTCAGCCCACCTGAGAGCTCGTCCCTTCTCGCACTGCCTTCCAGGAGCGCCAACCTGTTGTGTGCTACCTCCTCTTCCATCCCTCTCCCGATCATCTTTCCCCTTTCCCTTCCCACTCCCCCCCCCTCGCAGCCCGCCTCTGTGCTCATCGCTGCTCGCACCGGCTTCATGTACCGAAGCTACAGGGCCTTCCTCCTGCGGAACCTGTTGCGTCTCTAATCAATCCCCCATCCCCTTCCCTTTCCTACCCTTCCCCCTCAGCCCGCCTCTGTGCTGATCACTGCTCGCACTGACTTCCTCCTGCCTTCATGTACCAAAGCAACAAGGCCTTCCTCCTGCGCCACCTGTTGCTTCTCCAATTAAACATCGTTCCCCTCCCCGCTCCTCCCCTTCCCCTCGTCTGCTCTTCCCCCTCTTCTGCTCTCCCCCCCCCACTCAGCCTGCGTCTGTGCTCGTCGCGGCACGCACTGCCTTCATGCAGCGGCATGGCCTTGTGCCCTCCGAACCTGTCGCTCCCCTTTCTTCCGCTCCTGCTGCTGTCGCTGCTGCTGCTGTCACTGCTGCTGCTGTCACTGCTGCTGCTGTCACTCCTGCTGCTGAAAGCAAAGCCCAGCCCACGGAACATGCCAGTGAGAAATCTCCTGCACCAGAACCTTCTGAGAAGAATCTTCCTAGCAGCACAGCAGCAGACGCTCCTCAACCCTCAGCCATCCCTGGGCCCCCCTCTGACCCCTCCACTCTCCCCTCCCCTCCTCCTGACTCCTCGCCCCTCCCCCTGCCGCCCCGCCTGGCGCCTGTGCTGCGCCCCTGCCGCTCGTCGCACCACCTGGTGGCAGTGTACAATCTCAGGGGCGAGCGGGTTTCTGGGGACGACTGCAGCGAAATGGGCGGGCGGGAGGGGAAGGGGGCTGGGTTGAGGGAGGATAAGGGTACGAGTGGAGGGTTTGGGGTCGAAGCGAAAGGAAAGGCAGCGGATGAGATTGAGCCTGGTATATCACAGGCAGGGGCAGGGGCAGGGGCAGCAGCAGCAGGGGCAGAAGCTTCGGCAGCAGCGGCTGGAGTGGAAGTTGCAGAGGCAAGGCAAACGGGGCTAGAGGAAGGAGGAGAGAGAGTAGCGGGAGCAGGTGAAGGGGCGAGTGAGAGAGAAGCAGGAGCAGGTGAGGGTGTGAGTGTGTCAACCCCTGTGAGGGCTTGGAGTAGGGGGGCGAGGGAGAGGGAGCGGGTGATGAGGGCTGGTGGGAGCCCAGGGCAGGCAGGCGATGTCTCTGATAACGTCCCTCCCACAGCTGCAAAAGGCGCTGACAACACCCCCTATAGCGTGACTAGAGCAGCACCAGATGGTGCTGACAACGTCCCCAGCACAGCAGCAAAAGGTTTTGACAACACCCCTTATAACATCGCTAGAGCAGCACCGGATGGTGCTGACAACGTCCCCAGCACAGCAGCGTTTGGCAGCCCGTTCAAGCCTGCAGCAGGTTCACCCATCCGGCCCCCATCGTCTGCCTTATCCCCCATAAAGCCGTCCTCGTTTAACGCAGCAGCAGGCTCATCGTCCGCAGCAGCGCTAGCTGGAGAGGGGTACGTCCTCCCCTCGCCGTCCCGCGCCTCCCGCACTGCCCTCTTCTTCGACACCGTCAAAAAGGCAGCTGGAACAACGGCAGGAGCAGCAGGAGCAGAGGGAAGTGGGTCAGGTGTGGCGAGGAGGGAGGGCGCTGGCGGCTCTGGTTCTCCCTTGGAGGAGGGAGTGGCTGGAGGGCGAAGGGGGGTGGGGGGCGTGGGAGGAGCAGCAGCGTCAGGAAGAAATGGGGGAGGGAACGGTGCTGGCAGTCCTGGAATGGGGAGTGGCAGCGTGGGGGGGGGCAGCGTGGGAGGGGGCAGCGTGGGAGGGGGCAGTCCGAGTGTGCTGGAGAAGCTGAGGCGAGCCAAGGCGCAGCTGATGCAGCTGCAGCAGAGCTACCTGAAGGACCCGCCACCACACTCCACCGTCTCGTACTCCTCAGAAACTCCAATCAGCTCGAAAGGAGCAGGATTTGGCCAGGTTGGCTCTCAGGTGAAAACTCAGGTGGGAACAACAGCAGCAGGAGGGGACACAGGGGAATCAGGAAGAAGAACAGCAGCGGAAGCTGTTGAGGAAGCAGTGGCGGAAGCAGCAGCAGCTGCAGCATTAGGACCATCCAGAGGTATAGGGGCAGGAGCAGGAGCAGGAGCGGGAGCAGGGGGGGGAGCAGGAGCACGAGTGGGAGTAGGGACACCCGCCCTTCCCAGCCTAGGCTCTGAGTCCCCAGCCTCCTCCCCCCACATCGTCTCCCTCCCCTCCTCCGCCTACTCCCACGCCTCCACTGCCCCTTCCCCCGGCGTCATCACCCCGCTCTCTCTCGACCGCACCCCCAGCAGCAGCGCCCAGAGCATAAGATCCGAGCCTGACCCGCTGCTGCTCGGGCCCACGCCTGCGCGAACCGACGTGGCTCGGTACGAGAAGGCTCGGAAGGGCCTGCCGAGCCTGGACGAGGAGGCGCCGATTGGTGGGTGGAGCTCGGATGAAGGTGGGGGGTTAGGCTTGGGAAGACAGGCAGGGAGAGTGGCAGAGGCAGGAGCAAGGGATCAGGCAAGGGAGGGAGAAGAAGCAGGGGCGAGTGTGGGAGAAGGGGAGGCAGAAGGGAGGATAAGACATTCTGGGAGGGAGGGAAGAGAGGAAGAGGGAGTTGGAAGCTCGAGAGCAGGTTCGGGAGTGAGGGGTGGATGGAGCAGAGGTTCGGCAGGTGTGGGGAGGGCCGGAGAGTCCCTTGGAGATAAAGCAGAAGCAGCAGCGGATGGTGCAAGGGTAGGAGCAGCAGGAGCAGCGGGAGCAGCAGGAGGAGGAAAGGCAGGAGGTGATGGGGACATGGATGCGACAGCAGGTGCCCAGCCAATGTCATGGAAGTCAGGTGCGAAGGGGACTGGGAGAGTGGGGTATGGGTGGGGGGGCCATCATGACGCGTTGTGGGAAAACAGATCGACACATAAAAACAACGATGTATGGAAAAGAGGGCCTCGGGACCTCGCATGTGGCATGGGGAGCGTGGATGCATCTCGCCCTGCTTGCCCTTGAGAGCGTGGTTCGTTTCCCGTGTAAAAGGGCTTGCTCTATCCCTCATCCACCCCATACATCACCCGTTGCTGCCTCTCCTGCAGGAGCCAATCAGGGCATGACACTTCAGCAACGCATGCGAGCGAGGAGGGAGGGAGCACAGGGAGGAGGGGCAGGAGGGAGGAGAAGGCAGTGGGTGAGGTGAAGGGTGGGGAGAGGTGCTGTGGCTGGGCGAGGTCAGAATGAGGCATGGTAGTGTGTTAAGGTAGGTGGAGAGGAGACATAGGGTGGGTGAAATAGTAGTTTGGGTCGGAGGCATTGGGATGGAAGGAATGGTGCAGAGGGTTAGAAAACGTTTTACTACATCCTTGTGAGAAGGGCAAAATATTGCCGCGGTGGGGGGAAGCAATTTTCCTCCGAATGAACCTTGATTTTGCACGAGGTAGGTTGATTAGAGAGGGATGATGACAATTTTAGGGCATTCCTCATGCCCTAGTCAATAGCATGTTTTGCGTGAAAAGGCTTGCCAACTTACCATTTTACTACGGTGGTTTTATATTCGTTTCACTTTATAAAGGTATGATTGGGCGACAGAATCTGAGCTAGGAAATGAACTCGGTCCAAACGATTCTGTCTTAGGGCGTGTCACCCAAATCCGTTTTGGCAAAATACCATACTAAACCGCTCTAGAATCTTATTTGACCATTTTAGAACGCAAAACATCTTTGCGAACCGCAATCGGATGTAGTGACACGCTCTTACAACGAGATCTCTCAGTGCGCGTTACAAGTTGGACGAACAGCGCGCTCGGATGACTCCCTCACCTATTTGATCGCGGATAGTCAGAATACAGGCAGTCAAGACGGGGGCAGATCGTGTACCCAAGTGCGGTTCGTCAAACGTTTTTCAAGAAGCCGAAAACGAAATCACGAAAATCACATGGTAGCCTAGCCAGCATCGTAACCAAGCCGCACTTACTTCCAGAGGCGCGCACTCATTTGCGAGTTCGGCTGACTGTGCGAACCCTAAATGCGCGACACCAACAACTCACTGTGTGGCTCGGCGAAAGTAGCGGGAGCAGTTTTCGGGAGCCGATGTTCGCCACGATCGGTTAGTGCCGACTGGGTAATTTTGTTGCTGTGTACGATCGTGGGGGTCAGGATCCCGATACATATGTTCATCCTTGCGGGAGCGAGAAATTGAGGTGTCTTGACCGCTGCGGTACATTACCGGGGTGTAGATAGGTTATAAAAGGGTAATCAACTCGAAAGCTTGAACATTCAAAACTTGAACGAGTCTTGGTCCATCTTGTAACGCGCCCTCGGTGTGATCAACACAACGGGCTGTCGTTTTACCAACGAGTACTAAGCTCAGAGAAATTTCCCGTATGAACGTTCGCCTAAGCTAAGGTACTCGGCCATCGTCAAGCATTCTTCCATCTTCTGTTCCTCTACGCTAAACCATGGCGCCGCGGTCCGACAACGGACGGCCTAATAGCCGGTTCTCGGAGCTCATATTCTTGGGAACGGGCTCTTCAACTGGAGTCCCAACCCCCCTTTGTGTCACACAGCCGACCGACCCGCCATGCGCCGTGTGCCACAAGGCAATAGCGGACCCTCCTGAGCGAAACCCCAATTACCGGTAACTTCATTCGCGAAATGAATCCGCGAAATGCTGGTTTGTAACCTTCGTGCTGGTGTAACCGTGTACCGTGTTGCGTCTGAACCGCCTCGCATTCCGCGCTGGTTGTTACGGGTAACACGGTAACCATCTGCTGCGTTGCTCCTCGCCTGCAGGTGCAATCCGTCGCTTATGATTCGATACCGGAGCCGATCTTATACAGCGGATGAAGGTGTGACTGTACGCAGGGAGCTTGCTAACGATTGCTGTGATTCCAACGGGGTCGCCGAGGCGAACTCCAGAGAAGGGACAGATGGGAGGCGGGAGAGCTGCACTTCAGAAAGTGCCGACCTGACGGATTCCGTCGATCTGACGGATTCCGTCGACCTGGCTCTGTCGCCTGGCGAGCAGTGGCGGTACATTCAGATCGACGCGGGCAAGTGCTTTCGGGAGCAGGTGCTGAGGTGGTTCGTGCGGCGCAACATCCCCACCATCGACGCGGTACGCTGCATGCATGCATGCATGCCACCAGGTGAACCTTTGATCTTTGAGTCGAGTCCGAAGCTACCAGGTGCTGCGGTGGTGGTGGTACGTGCGGTGCAACATCCCCACCATCGACGCGGTACGGGCTGACACAGGGCTCGTTGAAACAGACATGCAGCCACGCATGCAGCCACGCATGCAGCCATGCATGCAGCCACGCATGCAGCCACGCATGCAGCCACGCATGCAGCCATGCATGCAGCCACGCATGCAGCCACGCATGCAGCCACGCATGCAGCCACGCAGCTCCTCCCTCTCCATCCCCCTCTCCCCACTGTCAACCCCCCTAATTTCCCCAACCAAATCCCTCCCCCCCCACCCCGCACCCCCCATCGCCACTTCCCCCACCCATCTGCCCACCCCGCCTCCATACCCGCTCCTACCGCCCCCCATTCCCCCCCTCTCAGGTGGTTTTTGAGTCGCCTTAAAAAGCTTTCCCTTCCCCCCCGGCCCTACAGCTGATTCTCACCCACGAGCATGCTGACGCCATCCTAGGCCTGGATGACGTCAGAGGGCTCCAGCGCATTCCTCTCCACCCAGCAGACCACGTGGCGCCCCTCTCCGTGTTCCTCGCCCACCACTGCATGGCCAGGTGCGCCGCTATCCCATGCTCCACCAGGCAGTGCACGCACGCTACCGCCCGTCCCTTCACCCAGCAGACCACGCGCCGCCTCTTTGCGTGTTCCTCTCGGCTCACTGCATGGCGAGGTGTGCGTCTCCCTCACCTCTCACTGCGCTGCTGTGTCTCCTACATTCCGTCTTCCCTGTATTGTGTGCGTCCACCGCCCCAACCTTTCCACCCTTCCTCCCTCCCCTCCCTCCAAACCCCCCCCCCCCCTCCCCATCACGATCACAGTGTGCGGGAGAAGTTCCCCTACCTCACACTCACCCCCGCTCGCCCAGCTCCGTTGCTCCCCTCCCTGCTACCGTCGGCTGCTCCTGCTGCTCACACTGGTGTCACTGACACTACTGATGCTGACACTACCAACGCTGGTGACACTACCATCGCTGGAACTACTACCACTGACACTACTAATGCGGACACAGGTGTCGGTGTCACTAGGGGGGGAGGCGTGACGAAAGTATCTCGGCGGGTCTCGCGAATCGATTGGCAGATCATTGAAGAGAGTGTGGCGGCTCCCTTCAGTGCTGCTGGGCTTACAGTCACTCCCCTGCCGGTACGGTCACATGCATGCATCCATGTGCCATCCATCCATCCGTATCATGCCTTTTTATGTGACCTGCATGCAGTCAGATTCGCCCTATGTCTTCCTGACATGCTTGCATGAATCTTTTTGGGTATCTCTTGCCCTTCAGCAGAAGGGTGATGGTACTGAAAGGTTGACACATGGTGCTTGGCAGTATGAGGCTGGCACGTGCCGATGCATATGTATGCTGCGCCATCCATGCTGCACTATTCATGCTGCACTATTCATGCTGCACTATTCATGGTGCACAATTCATGGTGCACTATTCATGGTGCACTATTCATGGTGCACTATTCATGGTGCACTATTCATGGTGCACTATTCATGATGCACTATTCATGCTGCACTATTCATGGTGCACTATTCATGGTGCACTATTCATGGTGCACTATTCATGGTGCACTATTCATGGTGCACTGTGACCATGAGGTGTATGGCTGTAACTAGCCGGACGCATGACCAGATTCGTGGAGATTCTTGCTGCAGGTGCAAGATGGGGAGGACTACATCGCGTTGGGACTCCAACCGGTTTTTTGAATCCTTTAATACAAAATTCATGCTGCACGCGCAATCTTTGCTGCAGGTGCAGCATGGGGAGGACTACATCGCGTTGGGGTTTGAGTTTGGGTTCCCCCATCGCATCGTTTACATCTCAGATGTCTCCAAAATTCCTCCAACCACTCTAGCATGTGAGATGGGGGTGCTGGACTGCTGCTTCTGTTGTTACCGGCATCTTAATCTCGTCACTGGCGTCTTCGTTATACGCTAATTTTATTATCTCTTCACGCCAGTGCACTTGCAGGCATTTCGTCATCGCACCACCAACTCACCATCCACGCACATGCATGCTCTCACACCTACGCTGTCTCATGCATGCTCTCACACCTACGCTGTCTCATGCATGCTCTCACACCTACGCTGTCTCATGAGCCTGCTTTGGCTGCAACTCATGAGTCATGCCTTGCCGTTCTGACACTCCTGCCTACTGCATCTCTGCTGCCTCTACTCCCCCTCCTGCCCTCCCCCTCCTGCCCCTTCCCTCCTGCCCCTTCCCCTCCTACCCCTTCCCCTCCTGCTTGTGCTTCTTCAGACTTGAAGGCCAGGCAGCAGCATGTGGGTCGGATACACCTTCTGGTCATCGACTCGCTCTACTTTGTATGTGAACTCCCTCGTGCCTAAGTCCTGTCCCAGTGTCCTCACATTCTGCTTTTCCAGTGCATTGGCGTCTTCTCACTGAGTTCAAAGACAGGATCATTTTTAGCATGTCCTGACTTTTCTGTTTTTTGTACGCGTATGATCGCATGGCTGCCATGGCATGTGGACGTGTGTGCAGGATCACCCACACGCTACTCACTTCCACCTTCCACAGGTATTTCTATCGCCAGCACCACACCCATCACATCCTTCTACACGCACCATGTCATCAGCTTTTAATGTTCTGCATTTCATCTTCACTTGATCAAACCCTTTCACGGAAATAAATTTAAATGTGGTGCATCTTTGTCCCCCCTTTCCCATTCTCTACACCGTGCTGAAAAGACTCTGGATGCAATCCGGGAGTTGCAGCCAAAGCAGGCCTTTTTGGTTGGCATGACTCATGAGTTTGACCACCACAAAGTCAATTCGCTGCTCCGTGACTGGTCCATCAAGTATGAAGCGTTACCTTTTCCCAACCCAGTTGAAAACTTCCGTTTCTTCATGAATGTATCACCAACTTTCACGGCAATGTGCTTAATGATTTCTTTTCAATGTATGCCTTTTGTATGGGCTTGCAGGGAGGATATAGATGTTCAGCTAGCACATGATGGTCTTTGTATCCCCGTGCTCCTATGAGCTCGATTCATGGCTGGAAATGCGAAAAGGGATGTTGTTCATTTGAATGATGGGATGCCTTACTCTGTTACTGATCAAGGTGCAGGTGTCATTGTATTAGAAATGAGGTCCGTTGGGTTTTAACATGTGTCTGGTGAAGGGCAGCTGGATGGCAATGGCATCTCGCACACGTTGTACTGTGTCCATGATGCTGCCAATCATCACAGATTGCTTCTAGATTTTGTAGTCATCACATCTAGGGCCGAAACTGGGGGACGATAATTGTCATGGTCACGTCCAACCTGTCAATGTCTTGAAAAATGTGAGTTTCACATAAAATACAACCCTGGACAGTCATGGACTCCGAGCAGTCACTAAGTGTCGATGGCGTGGCAGGAGAGGGGGATTGGCATGCTGTATGAAAACCCCAAAACTTTACCCGCCATTTGCTTCTGAAACGTATAAGTCGAGTCCTGAGGAACTTATCATTACTACGGTTAAGCAGCCAGCTTGGCCATGTTGCAATTTCACGTGAATATCGCTCTATGACGAGGTCTGATTGGTCAGATTCAACGTCACATGAGCAAAATCTTGCGTGACGTCGGGCGTGAGTTTTGAAAAATCGCCATGAATTGTACAGTCCAACGTGTTTTTCACCCATTTGGAACATTAATACGCCAAAACCTGTCTGATTAACCCAGAAAAGGGCAGAACATAATGTATTCCTTCGGTTGGTGGTTGTGATAATTATCTTCCACTGCCCCAGATGGCATGTGCAAATGATGCTGGCATCTGATATGTGTTGCCTAGTCCACGTGAAGATCCATTTGAATCCCCACCAGATTCACCGGCTTCATCCATCCCTGGAGAACCGAGGAACAAGGGCCAGCTCACCTTCAACCACTCACAATTGAAGCGACTCGAGTGATTATGGAAGCGCTCCACGTGATATCTTGCGAAACCATTCGCGGGATCCCCCAGCTTTCCGGATAGCGACACGGCAGTGCAGAATTCTCCGCGTCTATCCTGCTGCCACCAGGAAACAAGCAACACTTTCCACTCCTCGCGGATTCACAGAAGTGTTCTTCTGTAGTCCATTGAGGGAGTGGACGGGCTTGATTGGTCCTGCCTGTGTGGTCAAAATCTAGGTCGAGCATCACCCACCTCCGAGCCGCGTGTCGAATGGCCCTAAATTTCTCATGATCGAGTCTTCCTTCCAACCAGAGCCAGCTTCTCTCGGCCACACATGCCTAGCATTCGAACCTGCGAGGCTGCGCCACGGCCACATACACGAGCGGTGGGGTGGGTATGCTCCGCGGTGGCAATGCTGACCTGTGAAGAGCGACTTTGCACCAGCAAGTCATCAAAGCAAGGGATTGGTTGGCATGGTGATGTATGACATCAGCCAAGCAGCTTTCCAGGGAGCCCAGTCAATGTATCCAGAAAGCCCGCGGGGAAGGTGGAGTGTTGGCGGCCTTCTTGGCGAAAAGCACGGGGTAAAGTACCAACGAGGGGCCACATCAGCACGCAGCACACCAGACATTTCAGGCATTAGCCCAATGAGCCGACGTGGCGCTGCAAATGGCGGATGAGGAGGTGGTAAGGGGATGAGGTGAGGCGATGAGCAGGAAAGCTGTGTGGCTCGCATGGCCGCCCGGGAAAGAAGGCTCGTCTCCAACCGACACGTGCGTGGCGTTTCAGTTTGTCCCCCCCCTTTCGATAACAGCAGAACCAGGGCCAGCAGAGACACACAACCGAACCAAAGGGATTGGAGAAATTGGTGATCATGATGCACATGGAAAATGGCGGTGGCAGATATGCCACCTTGCCATACCTAACATGCCAGAAACCATCAGCACGCCACCGCAGCGCACACGGTTTTGAGAGCCACAGCACACTCACAGCAGGCAGAGCAGCCACATGCTTCAACAATCCCTTTCCCCCTTCCTTCCCCCTCCTCCCTCCTCTCTCCTCCCCTCTCCCTTTCCTCCCTCGCGTGTTTTCGCTTCCAGCCTTTCATTCCCAACTGGAGGAAGCCATGGCTGCTGGTCCCAACTAGACATGCCCACTGCCCAGCCTTTCTCCAAAAGCTGATAACCGCAACTTGGTCGGAACCTGGGACCAGCGAGCAGATTGCATCCTTTTGCCCCGCACGCCGTACAACGCCCTACCCGTCACACGCCACGACACCTCACGTTTCTGTTCTTGCACCACTGGTTAGTGGCAGTACCCCGTGACTGATATAGCTTCCCTCCGCATTCCCCAACATTCAGTAGCTCTGTCACACTTCGCTTCCCATCTCACTTCCACCCGCGACTCTCGACATGGCTTTCCAAATACCTTCAGTACCTATTCTCCCAGCTTCAGACATGGCCTCTCTCGCAACACATCCCTTCTGCCACGGGTTTCCCCAACCCTTCCTAGCAATGCCTTCGACGCACAGCGCTCTCCCCTTTCCCCAGGACCACCAGCACCCTGTAACCGCCCTCCGCGCGTCTCCCTCCCACCGCTCCTGCGAGCTGTGCTCGCAGCCGGCGGCTCTCCGCTGCGACGCGGATTCCGCGTTCCTCTGTGCGTCGTGCGACGCTGCGGTGCACTCCGCGAACTTCATCGTTCTTCGCCACGCGCGACACCTGCTCTGCGCGCTCTGCAGCGCGCCCACTTCCTGGGAGGCCCCCGCGCCGTTTCATCACCTCGCGGGTGCGTCCCCGTCACAGGTCGTTTGTGACTCGTGCTTAGCGGTCGGCGCGGTTAGCGGCATTGCGGCGAACGCCGCGCTTCACACGCCGAGCTCTATGAGCGCAAACATGGCTGCGTCGCTGTTCCCCCTCCACGCGTACGCTGCCGCCCTTTCAAGCTCCGCGTTCGCCCCTTCGCCCGCGTCGAACGTCGCAGCTCCACTTCAGGCTCCGGCGAAGCGCCACAAGGCCGCAGAGGGATACCCGAAGAGTTTATTCGCGGGAATGGCTGGCGCTGGGGATTGCTTGCCCTTCGCCCAATACCCCCTGCACGCAAAGCTTTCTCAGATTCACGTGCAGCAGCAGCAGCAGCAGCTGCCGTCTCTGCTCCTCGCAGGAACGACTCTCTCGCAAAACAGCCTCCTTACAGCCAATCAGGGACTGCCAACTTGCCCGTTATCCTCTTCCTCCTCCTCCTCCTCCTCCTCCTCGCCGCCAGAAACACTCCAGCTTTTTCCGACGGCGATCCCGACCGAAGGAGTCACAGAAAGTGTTACTGTAACGCCCTCGCTGACGGACAGGCCTGCTTCGCGTCAGCAACTCGTGCTCGCGGAGTCCCCTGAGGTTGCTGACGTGGCGGGTGTCGTTCCGGATCTAAACGAATCTCTCTGCAACGAGAATCAAACGGTCCCTGGCTCTCTCCCCAGCCTTAAGCCGGGAAGCTCTCGAGCCTCCACGGGAAAGCGGCACTACCGGGATGAGCAGGTAGTGGTAGCAGATGAGGCGCGAACCGTTCTGCAGGAGAGTGGTGCGAGCGGGCAGGGACGGAATGTTCTCGGGCAGCTTGCGGCTGCCCGGCTGAAGCGCGTTCTTTCATCCTGGTATTCCAGGCTGGCGCTCCGTGGGCCGCACGTGTCTGACCTGGCGTTCCACATCTTCCAGAAGGTTCTGCGAAAGCTCCAGCCCGGCAGGGTGGCAGCAGACTCGCTAAGAGTGACGCTGGCGGCGTGCATGTGGACGGCTGCCAAGCTGGACGATAACCAGAAGACGCTACCCAAGGCGTCCGACGTGGCAGCAGTGGCCCGCGTGCCAGCTCAGCGCCTGCAAGCTGCTGAGCTGGACGTGATGAAGCTGGTGGGGTGGAGGCCTCTGGAGGGCTTCACTGGATTTCATAGATGATGGGGGCAGGTCAAGAGAGACACGAGATTAGAGGCAAGTCAAGAGACACGAGATGAGAGACAAGTTGAGCCCCTTCAGCAAACATGCTCTTGTGCAGCAGACATGCGCCGAGGCAGCAGCAAGTGTGAAAGTGCATACCCACATCATGGCAATGGGATGGACAGTGGCATGCGCATGGGTTCAGCTACCCATATCATGGCAACCATTGGGTTGCTAGCTATGGAGGCTCTCTATTATACGGTACTAAAGCCTAACACCTCTTAGTAGATTATAGAAGCCTAGGAGCTGCTGATTAGATGCTCTTGTAAACGTTAACCTGTGCATATTACAGGGCCTACCTTGAAAGCTAAACGCCACTATTCATGAGCTCCATTTGTGTAACGAATCATAATTTATTAGAGTCGATATACCTACCTTATCTCTAACTTACAATGCCACGTTCGCCACAACCCCACTGCAATAAACCTCGGTCGGGACGTGAGTTCCTGTAAGTCACAATGCGGTCCAGTGTGGTTTGTACGATTTTAAAGCGATTAAATGGTTACACTTCGGTAACCTGGGGTTGAATCGCGGATGTCAGGTTTCACACACTTGGAACACCCCCTAGGTGTGTACATTTTCTCGAGATCTTCCGAACTGAACATTCATCGTACTGTACCGCGTGTTTTTTAATAATCAGCGCAGCTAATCTCACCAGACCGTATTCGACCTTTCTGAATAGTCGACCCTGAGGCGTGTTCGTAAAAAATGTTAGACGCCCTAAAAGCAGCCTGAAAAGCTCAAGATTTAGAGCAGCTCAAGCTCACGGCGGTGCTCCATCCATTTCTTACAGCAGCCCCTTACGTCATCCCTTCCTCTCCTGCACTCGCCATTCTCGTACTCCTCCTAGCTTCTTTCTAACCCGCGTTTGCATGCCACTTCGACAGAATGGGCCTGATAATCTGATTTCCAACCGACCTGCTGAGGCACAGGCACGTCACTCTACTGCACAGGCACGTCAGTCTACTGCACAGGCACGTCAGTCTACTGCACAGTCACGTCAGTCTACTGCACAGGCGCCAATATTGATAAACCTCGTTCGAATCCAGGAAGCCCTACGAGCCACACTGCCGTCGCGCTGCTAGTCCGGCCTTGGCCCAGCGCGCACGATACCGCTCCCGTCACAGCTTACCCTAACCGACTTCGCCTCAGCCTAATCTGTCTAGACCCTCTGATGCCATTGGCCCTCTGCTGCCAGTCAAAGCAGTCTAAGCACGCTCATTGATCATCACGACCAATATTCCTCCCGCGTTAAAGCCCAAGCACGCTCGCGAGCGTCCGGTCCCTCCCGTCCTCACCCGCCCGCCATGCAGCGACATAGACGAGAAGCAGCTGGTGGTGTATATCTGGAGTGATGTGCACAATATCGGGGGACGCAGTATCGAGAATATCGAGAGTCGACCACTGTTCATGAGCGGCTCTGGTCTCGCCGCGGAGCATCGTCAAGCAGAGCCGCCGCAGCGGTAGGGAGCAGCAACACAAGCAGCAGCAGCAACCGCAGCAACACCACAGGGCGAGCTTCTAGAGCGGTGTTGCAGATCGCGGAACCAAACCTTTAGCATTACCTTTACTTCCGTAAGCCGCAATGTCGCACTTTCCCAATCACAATGACGACGATCTCAGCGGCCCGCCGATTCCCAGCTACAAGGTTAGTAGCTTCTCGGACCCCAGTATGGAGGGGCCGCCGATCCACGTGGCGGACGAGGAGAGGCAGACGGTGCTGACGTGTCGGCAGGGCGAGTTGATACGCGAGTCGTACGCTGAGCTGGAGCCTGATCTGGACAACCACGCCATCATCATGTACCTCACGTACGTACGGATCAGGCAGTCACTGTAACGTACCTGCATGGCATGGCATGGCATCGCATTGCATCGCCCTCAACCAGCATTCCCGCAAACCCCTATCTACACCACCACCTCCTCCCCCCCCCCCCCCCCCCCCCCCCCCAACCCCTTCTCTTCCCCGCTCCCTCTTCTCATCATCTTTGGCTTGGTACCCGGGGATACGCGCCTCCTCTCCATGGCTCCTTGATTCACTTCACACCATACCCAGTGCTTTACCCCTTTCCCCAGCCTCCCCCTCCCCCCCCCCTTCCCCCCTCCTCCACTGGCAGGCGCCAGGCGCCTCTTCTCCGTGGCTCGCTGCTTGAGTTCTCACCAACCACAAACGACCAACTTCCCCCCCACTCTCCCCCTCCTCCCTCTCCCACCCGCCCAATCCCTCCCAGCATTGTTGACATGGTGCCCCACGCCAAGCGCCCCTTCTCCATGGTTCCGTGATTGACGTCACACCAACCTCAATGCATAGGACCCCCCCCCCCCCCCTCTTCTCCCTTCCCCCCCAGCATCTTCGACATGGTACCTGACGCCAGGCGCCTCTTCTCCATGGCTCGCTGCTTGACTTCACACCAACCCCAATGCACCAACCTCCCCTCCCCCCCCTCCCCCCCCCCCCCCCAACACGTCCCAACCTCTTCCCGCCCCCAGCATCTTCGACATGGTGCCCGACGCCAAGCGCCTCTTCTCCATGGTGCGCGATTCCAACGAGCCCGCGCCTGTCAACATCAAGCTCAACGCGCATGCCACCATGTCCTTCCGCATGGTACTGTTCATGCCACCATGTCCTTCCGCATGGTACTGTTCATGCCACCATGTCCTTCCGCATGGTATGGCGTCGGGGGATAGGGAGCGAGGGGAGAGAAAGAAAGAAGCGGAGAATCAGTGAGGGGCTGCAGGGCACTCGTCCCTCCCCACCCCACACGTGCCACTATCGTCCCTCCCCACACGTGCCACTATTTTTCAACAATACTGCCGTTTCAACCCCCTCTCTCTTAACGCCACCCGCTTTCTCATCACAACCGCCCCTCCCTCCCCCCCTCTCCCCCTTCCTCCCCCCAAATCCCCAATCCCCAATCCCCAATCCCCAATCCCCAATCCTCACCACCCTCGCAGATGTGTGAGGCGTTCTGCAAGTGGGACGACCCGGCAGAGGTGGAGAGGTCGCCCCTCAATCCCCCCTCCAACACCGCCCTTGCTTACGTCCCCCCCCTCTCCCCATCATCCCTCTCCACCCCTCCCCACCGCTTTCAGATGTGCGAGGCGTTCTGCAAGTGGGACGACCCGGCAGAGGTGGAGAGGTCAGCCCCCTTCTTCAAGGCGCTGGGCGGCCGGCACCTCAACTACGGCATCGATGGCAACGACTTCCCGGTGAGTGATCAAAGCGTGTGCAGTGCCGTGCCAGGAGGGATGGGAAGCACGCCAACAGACGCCCTGTGTGGGACCGTGGGAGGGAGCACATCGATTCTTCAAGGCGCTGGGCGGCAGACACCTCAGCTACGGCATCGATGGGAACGACTTCTTGGTGAGAGGGGGAGGGGTTGGGTGAAGAGGGTGGGGTGACGGGGAGGATGGGGGGAGGCGGAGGATGGGGTTGATAGGAGGATGGGGTTGATAGGAGGATGCGAGGGGTGGGCCGGGGGCACCTCAACTATGGCACCCATCACCTCAACTATGGCACCTCCAGGCACCTCAACTATGGCACCCATCACCTCAACTATGGCACCCATCACCTCAACTATGGCACCCAGCACCTCAACTATGGCACCCCATCACCTCAACTATGGCACCCAGCACCTCAACTATGGCACCCATCACCTCAACTATGGCACCCAGCACCTCAACTTATGGCACCCATCACCTCAACTATGGCACCCAGCACCTCAACTATGGCACCCATCACCTCAACTATGGCACCCATCACCTCAACTATGGCACCCAGCACCTCAACTATGGCACCCATCACCTCAACTATGGCACCCAGCACCTCAACTATGGCACCCATCACCTCAACTATGGCACCCAGCACCTCAACTATGGCACCCATCACCTCAACTATGGCACCCAGCACCTCAACTATGGCACCCATCACCTCAACTATGGCACAAATCACCTCAACTATGGCACCCATCACCTCAACTATGGCACCCAGCACCTCAACTATGGCACCCATCACCTTAACTATGGCACCCAGCACCTCAACTATGACACCCATCACCTCAACTATGGCACCCAGCACCTCAACTATGGCACCCATCACCTCAACTATGGCATCCCGGTGAGTTGGAAACAGAGGATGGGAGGGATGGTGATGGGAGGCATGGGGCGTGTTGTGCTGCCTTAGACGCCCCTCTCTCCTCTTCCTGTGCGTACTACCCCACCCCACGCTGCCAGGTGTTCCGAACGGGGTTCATGAAGGCGTTAAAGAAGGCGTTTGGGGAGCGGTGGTACGGGGAGCTGGAGGGCGCGTGGTGTGCCGCCTTTGACATGTTGGAAGGGGTGGCAACCACTGGCATGGCGGAGGGAGGGGGGTTCAAGCGTGTGCCGGCTTTCATGCTGTCGTGACGCGTGGCAGGCGGCATAGTGACACGTGGCAGGCGGCGTAGTGACACGTGGCAAGTGACGTAGTGACATGTGGCAAGTGGCACGTGGCGATTGCTACCTTGATCGTAGATCGCACTCTCACCAAGGTCCAAGACACCTTGCAGCCTCTGGCATGGCGGAGGGGGGGGCATTCAAGCGAGTGCCGGCTTTCATGCTGTTACGCAGTAACTGCTATCATTTTTATCACCAGCAATTCCGTACTTCGAAGTCCACCAAGCAATCCTGCTGTGTGGCCGAAGGACCTGAGGCACGGGAAGAGCAACGGCTGCAGCTGGCCGCAGCCAACAGACAGCAGGCTTCGAATCTAATCCCCGTGCGCACTGCGGAGCCACATTGCCACGGCATCAGCTCACTGCGGAGCCACATTGCCACGGCATCAGCTCTCTGCGGAGCCACATTGCCACGGCATCAGCTCTCTGCGGAGCCACATTGCCACG